TTTTCATGTTTCAGGGAGACAGCAGTGGACCTTTGATGTGCTGTTTCTAAAATGACACCAGGTTATATCCTATTGGAATTACTTACTTTGGATATGAGTGTGGTCCACCAAAATATTCAGGTGTTTATGTAAAAATGTTTAATTATATAAGTTGGATAAATACACATTTATTAGCTAAAATGACAAATCCGAAATGTCAGTTTTTCTTTACCTTTTTCACTGTGCTATGGATTAACCCTATGAACAGGAAAATAGTTATTCTACTAGATTGGAATAATCTTCGAATAGTTCTTCATGTCAGTATTTCATTGCTTGGAAACACAGTAACTCCAGCAGAAATTGCTTTACATAAATAGCTAACTTGCTACAAGTTTAAATTAAAAAATTATTTTGCCAGAATTTAAAATAAAACCTGCCAGGTATATTATATCAGGTTATGCCAATTTTAGCTTCTAAACTTAAAGTGTTCAGACAATATCTAAAATAATTTTGCAGTCTTTGAACTACAATCATATATGAAAGTTTGATCTTAATAATTACTTTGCTTGTTCAGCTTCCTTTTTAGCAATATAATTATGTATAACATCTTCATTAGAACAAAATAAAATGTTTATGTACAAAGAATATATAAAAGTCACATTTTAATTCATTAATACATATTGTTTTTGATTAATATCCAGAATGATAACAAGAAACGTCCCAATACCTGAAATCATTATGCCAGTAATCATAATTTTCTGTGATTATACTAGTCTGCAGTTCTTCAGATTATCACACATTAATTTTATCTAGTGTTCTTTCAGTCTTGATGACTCTGAGGATATATAGACCATATTCTTAGCAACATAAGGACAAAATGAAGAATGGGTAGGCTGAAGAGTAAGTTTCGGAAAAAGTAAATTATTCTTTCAACTAGAGAAAATTTCATGAAAACCTGGACTTGATCTAATAAAACTGCTGATTCACAGGGGTTACATTCCATTCGTGTAAAGTGGAAATACTTTGAAAAGGTTAACTATACTGTTTAGGTAAATGAAGTTAAAATATTCACAGATAATATAACACAAAACCCAAGAAATACTTCTTTGGGTCTAAGACAGTGGTGGCAAACCTATGGCACGGGTGCCAAAGGCGGCACTCAGAGCCCTCTCTGTGGGCACACACACCGTCGCCCCAGTCCTAGGCCTTCAGCTGGGTTTTATAAAACCTTTTCGCTTTAGGCCTCCACCGTTGTGTGCAAAAAAAAAAAAAGATTCAGTCAATTTCAACTTCTGGGGGGGGGGGGAATCTTACAAAGTTGTAATTGATTGATTGAACTTTTTAGTCCCATCCAGCCATGCCCACCCAATGGGCCACACCCAGCCAATGGGCCAGACCCACCCGGCACTCTACTATGCATAAGTGGATTTTGGGTTGCAGTTTGGGCACTCAGTCTCTAAAAGGTTTGCCATCACTGCTCTAGGATATATTCAGTAATCTCCAGAATACATGAGGAAGCTGTTCCCACCACAAACCATAATGGATCTCACAGGAGCAGCCTCAAAAATGCTTCAAGATCTAAGGCTGCGCCCATATTACTTTGGAAGGTAACCAGCTGGAATCTGCCTGTCAGAATCAGAATAGCCAAGGGGTCCGTTATGGTAGCGAAGAGGGCCTTCACACACACACACACACACACACACACACACACACACACACACACACACACACACACACACACACACACCCCACCCCGATTCAGCCAGCGGTTATTTCAATCGGGCGGTTCGGTGGGCGGTTGAAGGCAAGACGTCGCCTTCCCCCTCGATTTGCACCAGGGGACAGCCTTGGCGAGGGACGCCCCGCGAGGCTGACGAGAAAAACCGTCGCTCGCGCGCCCTGTCACCTGACCCTTGCCTGAGGGAGAAGGCGTGCTAAGTCGGCTGCCGTTTTGCTTCGTGGACGGACGATGAGCCGCAACTTTTCCGCCGCCGCCGCCGCCGCCTTTTCCTTTTGGGCTTTGCTTGTGCTGTTCAGGGAAGCCGCGCCCAAAGCCCTGTCCTCCCTGAATCTTACCGACGGTGAGCTTGGCCTCGCTCCCTCCTCGCAGGGCGTCGAGCTCGGCCCTTGATCGCCATCGTGCTGCTTCGGACGGGGTAGCCTAACAGATCGAGCTTGAGGGGAAAAGCCGTCAGCGGAGCGCGCGGGAATCCTTCGCCGAGGGAACGCCCCTGAATTTCTGTGCTGGGATCTGTTCGAAAATAAATAGTTATATTTTACCTGTTCCCAGCTCTTGGGGA